AAGATTCACCACCTTAACTGAGCCAGCTGAATCAGGGAGAGGGTAAACACGCCCCTCACAACGCTCGAGAAACGCTTGAAAGGCAGCCTGGAGGCGGAACTTGACCACAGCACGGTGGCCCTGAAGCAGCTGGATGCCCACCAGGTCCGACAGCTGCACATGAAGCACGTCCACCAGGGCGACACCAACCAATGGATGGGCCACCGGCACCGTAAATGCCAGACCAGCCGACAATGTCCTCTGCACTGGAAGGCGAGACGACCCCAAGGCTAAGGCAAACGTCACCCTGTCAGTGGCAAACCACCACCAGCAGGGCAAACCAGCAGTCACCCAACGTAAACACTAGCCAGTGCGGAGAGACCTCAGGAGCGTCCGACCCGGCCGGTGGTCACCACGCAACTCCAAACCACCTCAAGTCCATCATCACCCAGCAAAAATCCGATATCAGAATAATAACAAATTCTGCTTTTAGACAACACACAGCCCCCTTGTTTAACTCCCTAAACATGCTAAACATAATCTCACTCCACAAATTCTCTTGTGTCAACTACATTTACAAAACCCTGTTCTTACATGCAAATCCTGCTCTGAAACTCTCCCTGGACAGATGTAATAGGACCCATTATCACCACACCAGAAATAAATATCTCTTTGATATCCCCAGAGTCAAACTTAATCTGTGTAAACACTCTATGCAAATAAAGGGACCCAGTCTATGGAACTCACTCCCTATTGAATTGAAAAGCTGTCCAACTTTTGCGTCATTCAAAAACAATACTAAAAAGTACCTAATTTCATCTTCATAGTTTTTTACCTTTTGCTTTAAAATTGCACTGTATCTATTGCTACCCAATCTACCAATCTTTATGTACCCAATCTACCAATCTTTATGTACCCAATCCGAACATCTTTACCATTGTGATCATTGCTGTCTTCTTATATGTGCTATCAATCTGCTGTATGGTGCCTATTAATCTTGTTTAAATTACCAATCAAGCTGTCAATGTAATCAATCAGAGCTTTGATATACTAATGTGCTTTAATATACTTACTAATCTCTCTCATCTCATTTTTTTCTTGCAATGTATTTGTTATCATTTTATTAATTCTGATAGAATTTACCTATTTAAAATTATCTGTTAGATTAAGGACCTGCCCGAAACGCTGCGCGAACTAGTGGCATTACAAGAGTGCAATTACTGTACTATGCTATGTATTCTCACAAACCCAATGTACCTTCTTGTATATAAATAAATAAATAAATAAATAAGCAGAGAGGTTATGTTGGTCCAGATGTGCTGGTTGGAGCTGGTCCCGGGGGCTGGTCCCGGGGGCTGGGGTTATCTTGAGGTTATCTTGAGATGATTTCGGGGCTTTAGTGTCCCCGCGGCCCGGTCCTCGACCAGGCCTCCACCCCCAGGAAGCAGCCCGTGACAGCTGACTAACACCCAGGTACCTATTTACTGCTAGGTAACAGGGGCATTCAGGGTGAAAGAAACTTTGCCCATTTGTTTCTGCCTCGTGCGGGAATCGAACCCGCGCCACAGAATTACGAGTCCTGCGCACTATCCACCAGGCTACGAGACCCCTTGGAGCAGTTCCCCGGGGGCTGGGGTTGGAGCAGGTCCCCGGGGGCTGGGGTTGGAGCAGGTCCCCGGGGGCTGGGGTTGGAGCAGGTCCCCGGGGGCTGGGGTTGGAGCAGGTCCCCGGGGGCTGGGGTTGGAGCTGGTCCCCGGGGGCTGGTCCCGGGGGCTGGGGATGGAGCAAGTCCCCGGGGGCTGGGGTTGGAGCAGTTCCCCGGGGGCTGGGGTTGGAGCAGTTCCCCGGGGCTGGGGTTGGAGCAGGTCCCCGGGGGCTGGGGTTGGAGCAGGTCCCAGGGGGCTGGGGTTGGAGCTGGTCCCTGGGGGCTGGTCCCGGGGGCTGGGGTTGGAGCAGGTCCCCGGGGGCTGGGGTTGGAGCAGGTCCCCGGGGGCTGGGGTTGGAGCAGGTCCCCGGGGGCGGGGTTGGAGCAGGTCCCGGGGGCTGGGGTTGGAGCTGGTCCCCGGGGGCTGGGGTTGGAGCAGGTCCCCGGGGGCTGGGGTTGGAGCTGGTCCCCGGGGGCTGGAGTTGGAGCAGTTCCCCGGGGGCTGGGGTTGGAACAGTTCCCGGGGGCTGGGGTTGGAGCTGGTCCCCGGGGGCTGGGGTTGGAGCTGGTCCCCGGGGGCTGGGGTTGGAGCAGGTCCCCGGGGGCTGGGGTTAGAGCAGGTCCCCGGGGGCTGGGGTTGGAGCAGGTCCCGGGGGCTGGGGTTGGAGCAGGTCCCGGGGGCTGGGGTTGGAGCAGTTCCCCGGGGGCTGGGGTTGGAGCAGGTCCCCGGGGGCTGGGGTTGGAGCTGGTCCCCGGGGGCTGGGGTTGGAGCAGGTCCCGGGGGCTGGGGTTGGAGCTGGTCCCCGGGGGCTGGTCCCGGGGGCTGGGGTTGGAGCAGGTCCCGGGGGCTGGGGTTGGAGCAGTTCCCCGGGGGCTGGGGTTGGAGCTGGTCCCCGGGGGCTGGGGTTGGAGCAGGTCCCCGGGGGCTGGGGTTGGAGCAGGTCCCCGGGGGCTGGGGTTGGAGCAGGTCCCCGGGGGCTGGGGTTGGAGCAGGTCCCCGGGGGCTGGGGTTGGAGCTGGTCCCCGGGGGCTGGGGTTGGAGCAGGTCCCCGGGGGCTGGGGTTGGAGCAGGTCCCCGGGGGCTGGGGTTGGAGCTGGTCCCGGGGCTGGGGTTGGAGCTGGTCCCCGGGGCTGGGGTTGGAGCAGGTCCCCGGGGGCTGGGGTTGGAGCAGGTCCCCGGGGGCTGGGGTTGGAGCTGGTCCCCGGGGGCTGGGGTTGGAGCAGGTCCCCGGGGACTGGGGTTGGAGCTGGTCCCCGGGGGCTGGAGTTGGAGCTGGTCCGCGGGGGCTGGGGTTGGAGCAGTTCCCCGGGGGCTGGGGTTGGAGCTGGTCCCCGGGGGCTGGGGTTGGAGCTGGTCCCCGGGGGCTGGGGTTGGAGCAGGTCCCCGGGGGCTGGGGTTAGAGCAGGTCCCCGGGGGCTGGGGTTGGAGCAGGTCCCCGGGGGCTGGGGTTGGAGCAGGTCCCGGGGGCTGGAGTTGGAGCAGGTCCCCGGGGGCTGGGGTTGGAGCAGGTCCCCGGGGGCTGGGGTTGGAGCTGGTCCCCGGGGGCTGGGGTTGGAGCGGGTCCCCGGGGGCTGGGGTTGGAGCTGGTCCCCGGGGGCTGGTCCCGGGGGCTGGGGTTGGAGCTGGTCCCCGGGGGCTGGGGTTGGAGCTGGTCCCCGGGGGCTGGGGTTGGGGCTGGTCCCGGGGGCTGGGGATGGAGCTGGTCCCCGGGGGCTGGGGTTGGAGCAGGTCCCCGGGGGCTGGGGTTGGGGCAGGTCCCCGGGGGCTGGGGTTGGAGCAGGTCCCCGGGGGCTGGGGTTGGAGCTGGTCCCCGGGGGCTGGGGTTGGAGCAGGTCCCCGGGGGCTGGGGTTGGAGCAGGTCCCCGGGGGCTGGGGTGGGAGCTGGTCCCCGGGGCTGGGGTTGGAGCTGGTCCCCGGGGGCTGGGGTTGGAGCAGGTCCCCGGGGGCTGGGGTTGGAGCTGGTCCCCGGGGGCTGGGGTTGGAGCAGGTCCCCGGGGGCTGGGGTTGGAGCTGGTCCCCGGGGGCTGGGGTTGGAGCAGGTCCCCGGGGGCTGGGGTTGGAGCAGGTCCACGGGGGCTGGGGTTGGAGCAGGTCCCCGGGGGCTGGGGTTGGAGCAGGTCCCCGGGGCTGGGGTTGGAGCAGGTCCCCGGGGGCTGGTCCCCGGGGGCTGGGGTTGGAGCAGGTCCCCGGGGGCTGGGGTTGGAGCAGGTCCCCGGGGGCTAGGGTTGGAGCAGGTCCCCGGGGGCTGGGGTTGGAGCTGGTCCCCGGGGGCTGGGGTTGGAGCTGGTCCCCGGGGGCTGGGGTTGGAGCTGGTCCCCGGGGGCTGGGGTTGGAGCAGGTCCCCGGGGCTGGAGTTGGAGCAGGTCCCCGGGGGCTGGGGTTGGGGCTGGTCCCGGGGGCTGGGGTTGGAGCTGGTCCCCGGGGGCTGGGGTTGGAGCTGGTCCCCGGGGGCTGGGGTTGGGGCAGGTCCCCGGGGGCTGGGGATGGGGCTGGTCCCCGGGGGCTGGGGATGGGGCTGGTCCCCGGGGGCTGGGGTTGGAGCAGATCCCCGGGGGCTGGGGCTGGTCCCCGGGGGCTGGGGTTGGGGCTGGGGTTGGAGCAGGTCCCCGGGGGCTGGGGTTGGAGCAGGTCCCGGGGGCTGGGGTTGGAGCTGGTCCCCGGGGGCTGGGGTTGGGGCAGGTCCCCGGGGGCTGGGGATGGGGCTGGTCCCCGGGGACTGGGGTTGGAGCAGATCCCCGGGGGCTGGGGCTGGTCCCCGGGGGCTGGGGTTGGGGCTGGGGTTGGAGCAGGTCCCCGGGGGCTGGGGTTGGAGCAGGTCCCCGGGGGCTGGGGTTGGAGCTGGTCCCCGGGGCTGGGGTTGGGGCAGGTCCCCGGGGGCTGGGGATGGGGCTGGTCCCCGGGGGCTGGGGTTGGAGCAGGTCCCCGGGGGCTGGGGCTGGTCCCCGGGGGCTGGGGTTGGGGCAGGTCCCCGGGGGCTGGGGAAGGGGCTGGGGTTGGAGCTGGTCCCCGGGGGCTGGGGTTGGAGCAGGTCCCCGGGGGCTGGGGTTGGAGCAGGTCCCCGGGGGCTGGGGTTGGAGCTGGTCCCCGGGGGCAGGGGTTGGAGCAGGTCCCCGGGGGCTGGGGTTGGGGCAGGTCCCCGGGGGCTGGGGAAGGGGCTGGGGCTGGGGATGGAGCAGGTCCCCGGGGGCTGGGGTTGGAGCTGGTCCCCGGGGGCTGGGGTTGGAGCAAGTCCCCGGGGGCTGGGGCTGGTCCCCGGGGGCTGGGGTTGGGGCAGGTCCCCGGGGGCTGGGGAAGGGGCTGGGGTTGGAGCAGGTCCCGGGGGCTGGGGTTGGAGCAGGTCCCCGGGGCTGGGGTTGGAGCAGGTCCCCGGGGGCT